ATACTCTAGGGGAACAGAACCTCTGACACACTCCCTAGTTCACCCCATGAGGCGTACACATCGCTCCCCTAAACAAACACAATCCTCCTGGCCACAAGGACCCCACATTCCTGAATCTGCAGCGGGTCCTGACCTAGTCTTCACTGGGCCTTTCGGCAGCCACGACACTGGCAGACAGTGCCACTGAACTCCACCTAATAGAGCGAGCGCCGCCATCCTCACGCAGTTCCGCCACCGTTTCCTACTGAACTCCAGAGCTAGGGCCGTACTCGACCCTCCACTCGGCACAGCCTAGCGTGTTCTGCTTTAAGTCCCGTCTGTGGCCACAGGCCAGTGATGTCCCTCCAGATGCAGAGGTGGCCCTCTGAAGCGTCTCTCTCCTCAACTCAGTAAGCGCGACAAAGACCCAAACCTTCCCCCTCCCGCCACTGTGGGCAGCTGCACTCTGATGGCTCAAGCCATCCTTGCCTTCTCATCCCCCTCACTGACACACACCTATTACCTCCTTCTCCCTATGAGGGGACTTCCCCCAGGTGGCTGGACCCACCTGGCACCTGGACAACTTTTTTTGTTTTTTTGGTTTTTGAGACAGGGTTTCTCTGTGTAGCTTTGGAGCCTATCCTGGCACTCGCTCTGGAGGCCAGTCTGGCCTCGAACTCACAGAGATCCTCCTGCCTCTGCCTCCCGAGTGCTGGGATTAAAGGCGTGCACCACCAGCACCTGGTGCACCTGGAAAACTTCCCTGCAGTGGAGCCATGAAGAGGCCCCAGGGACCCTCAAGCCTTACCCACGCCTCCTATGCCTCCTGGCCCTGATGCTGCCTTGTGAGCATTCCTTCTTACACTGGCTTCTCCTGTCCAAGCACTAACATGTGTCCCACGTAACACTAGGCCAGGCTCCCCACTTGCTCTCCACATCCAACCCCACAGGCAGTGTCTTGAACTGTGAGTTTGGAAGATCCACTGGCCTGGGCCCTGCCTCTGGATTCCTGGTGGGTTGAGCCTGTGGGAGGCGTGGGAGACAGGAGAGGGGGAGGGGTAAAACAGTGGGGTATAGAGACCCTGCCCGCTGGCCGCCTTTCCTGGCAGGCCATAAAACTAAACGGCCTGAGCCAGTCTCTCAAAGCAGGGCCGTCACACCCCTCTCCCTCCCAGGTTCTTTTCACGTCCTCCCCTGCTCATCTGTAAAATCATCCCTGTAGCCAATGCGGGCGGCATCAACCAGGTCCCTATCGGAAACGGGTCCTCCCTGAGACAGACCTAGAGCTGCTTCATCAGATCAGATCCCAAGTCCTCCCTGAGACAAACCTAGAGCTGTTTGAGTCACTGTGTCCTGTGCCTAGCACCCTGCCTGACACGAGGCAAGCACTTGATAAATATCTGCTGTGTGTGCCATCGTCACAATTGATTTGTGGGGGCCACACCCCAACTGTGCAGACTGAGGGTGCCGAATCAGCTCTAACTGGGAGGCAGGAAGGGTGGAGGGGGGGACACCCACACATAC